TTTATTAAGATTGAGTCGGTTCTTTAAAAAAAAAAATGAAAACATAGGAATGCAAAATACGCTATCTTTTAGCACAGGAGGGTAATGTGTTTATCAGTCTATGTATGTATGTTTGTTTCTATGTGGCGTTCTAGAGACCAAATGCGTAGGCTGATTTTGATGATTCTTACGTCAATAGATTCGTCTTAACCTCGCGAGTGTCACAAAAGACATGACAGTAATCAAAATTCACCACAGCACAGTGAAAAAGTATGAGGAACAAATATTTTTGGTAAAAAAATGAAGCATTTGTAGCTTTGAGCCGAGTTAGGTCTCTAGAGGGACTAATCATCAGTAGTTTAGACCACCGCAAGTTACTTAATAATCCCCACGATATTAACTCCCTCAATGAAATGATTAGATTGCGATATTTGCCATCTTATAACTATAAGTCAACTAATCGTAACTAAAAAGTATAAAACAAAAATAAATAATTTAAAGAAAAACAAAAAAAAACCCGACTGCGTAAAAACGAATTTTAAAAAACACTTAAATAAATTAACTTAAATAAAAACTTAAAAGAAAGAAACAAGCCCGGTGGTTTAGAATTCTGTTAAGTAATACAGAACAGACCGACTCACAGTCGGGGCCCTGAGTTTCTTTTAAGTTTTTATTTAATTTAAATTTTTCATGTATTTTTTAAAATTCGTTTTTACGCAGTCGGGCTTTTTTGTTTTTCTTTAAATTATTTATTTCTCTTCGATGATAATATCGTTCTCTACGTCATCTCAATAATATGTTGGGGTATTTGGCGAAACCTTTTCAGTAATTTTGTTATAAGAACAAAATAATTTTGAAAATCAATCAAGAATCAGCGGATAAATGTCGATCATAGTACCTCCTCCTTTTCGATTAGGATGTTGTTTAAAAATACTTCAAAATGTATATGAAACTGTGTTATCCCTATTTTTATCCCAGTTTATATTGGAGAGACAGTTTGTATCGGATAAACAAGTGAAGGTGTTACGACACACACTACTCGGTGTTACACTATTCAGTTTTTGGCATACCCGCAATATTTTATTTACTTGCACCATTATTGGCCATTTTTGATAATGCAAGGGAAATGTACATTAAGCTTCAAATGAGAGCCCCCCAACCAATCCGCCCTGAGAAGGGCAGGTTAGTGTTGTTGGCCTACCTGATAAAACCATGTATCTTCAATCCGCGCTGGGATTCCTCTCATGTGTAAGAAAGAAGGGTCGCCCTCTGCGGGAGGGCGTCCTAACCTAACCCTTTAGTTTAGGAATTTTCTTTAAAGTCAGTTTTAGTTTAAAAATATTTGATTTAAAAATGTACCAGGAGTCCTCGTCAAGATAAATCAAACGCTTCAGTGTTTGATTATTTTTAATGTTAAAAAGAAACTACCGATCCGGTTTCGATATCCCTTTCGAAGATATCGTCGAACATAGGTCATAAAAATATAATTAAGACGAATTGACGACCTCTTTTTATTTGTGAACTCTGTTAAAATATAATGTGGTTGTTTTTTTGTAAATCTAAAAATATTTTAATCAGTAATACAGCAATGATATCACCAACGCACCTAATCAGTAATTTTTTCATGATATCTACGTTGATTTGATCTGATTTTAAGTACTTTGTTTTCATACATAGTATATATTGTACATACATATTCGTATTTATCATTTAAATTCCCGGTCGGGTCAAATGTATAAAATGAACTTTTCTACATTTTAAACGAGTATAAGCAGGCTGGATGCGGGAGGCGCAGGACCGATCACGTTGGAGGTCTTTGGGGAGGCCTATGCCCAGCAGTGGGCGTCTCTCGGCTGATATGATGATGACGATGATAAGCAGGTTTTAGATAAATAACTTCCTCCAGATCTTGATTGTTGGGAGGTCCATCCAAATGAAAAAGAAGTATTTAAATTCGCTAACAGTCTTCGTGGTTTAGATCCTAGCGTTTTAAGTAATTAGGCTGTGTAATAGGGCTCAGTAAAACGACGTAAACCGCCATTTGTTATGGCGGCCATTTTGTAGTATAAATGTGCAGTATATTTTAAAAGTTCGGTACCTAAGCCGTTTCTTTTGACACCCGTATTAAGTGGGTTGTACTAAAATATTTTATTTTGGCGGCCATTTTGTATGAATAATAATACTGGTGATATTTAATTGTAGAGACATCAGAATCAAAAAAATGTATTACAGCTTAATCAAACACTGGAAAAATTTGTACCACTTAACACGGCAAGTTAATTAAAAGCTTTGGCTTTTTAGCGATTACGTCATAAAGATTACCTTTCCCTCCAAAACTGATATTTGCACTGAATGAGCTTTTGCAGTCATAACACAATTAAGAACAATAATTATAGTATTTTTTTTGAAACCATAAAGTATATGAAATATTAATATAGTAGATAAAGTTCCCAACTGCGGGACGGCAGGCAATGGAGGCGGAGGAGGAAAAAATTAAAAATAATTGATATCTTTGAGTTTTTATCTCAGACCCAATATTTTTTCACATGTTCATCTAGTTCAGAGACGTAAAAATATTTTCTCTATATGTAGGTATTAAAATATTTTGTGTAATACGATTACGATAATACAATTTCAGTAAAATAATTATTTAGTATATATTTTATAAACAAAATCGTGTACCATTTCGATGTAACATTAAGCACATTACATTTTCATATATAATGTAAAATGCTTTTACGTTATAATATGAAAGTACATTTATAAAAAAAAAGGAACTGCGATAAAAACGATAAATTATACTTGATTTGTTTATGTCTTTCTTTTATTAATTACCAAGTAATAAAAGCTTGCTTAAAAAAAACTACGTTTTCGCCTCAAAGTACTCGATCAAATGAAATCCGTCTCCCACTCATTTGATACCGATATTGAGCGGGTCTACCATTTTGTGTTGGTAGCCATCTTGGATTTGATTTTTTTTCAAGGTAAAATGTACGGGTAGCTATATAATAAGATTGTAACAGAGGTGATGATTTACGTGGGTAAAGTCGCGGGAAAATAGCTGACGTACTTGTCCAGGCAAAGAATTAATAAATATATATGGGTATTGTAAGTGAGAAGGTATAATCCTCGATCAATTCGGATTGGTCTCTGGCAGCTTATCTACTAGCTTGATAGATTTTTCAGGGCTAATTACTTATCTACGAGCAAGTAAGAAGTGAAGACAAAATTTTTTTTTGCATAATTTGAATTTCAGCTACAAATATATTTTTCTAAACTAGCTTAATAGCTACATGTCCGAATATATTATTTAACTCGTAATTACGATCTGACAATTCATATCTGCACCTACTACAAAACTATATTGGTCATGTTTTAACAACCGTTATCGCATTTTACAATAATACATAAATATATTTAGATAGTGGTCTAGAAAAATGTTGGATTCCAGGAAATCGATGTTGGGTTAGTTTTGTGAATACGTATACGTGTTTGTTGCTCTTTCACGCAAAAACTAATAGACAGATTTTGATAACATTAGGTATACGGATAATTCTAAGCCTGAATTACAATAACCTTCTTTTAAGTTACGTGAACGAAGTTTAAAGATTAGTTATTTTGTTACCTATATTGTCGTGTACAAATTTTCTTGACGTATTTTCATTAGTGAAAATAAAATTGATACTTATAGTATATTGAATTTTACCTCGAAAATATTCGCCTGCTACCTACTAGAAGTTTTCACTTATAATAAAGTAGTAACATTTGTTGAGGTCAAAGCATACATAATCCATCCGCTAGGCTTGTAGGTGAACGATGATCATCACGGCTTATATTTATGTGATGGCATTTATATCATACTCAAGGTAAGGATAAAAGTTTGTTTTATAATAATATTTAAAAAAAACACATATATATAAAGGGTCCTAGATTTGCACCTTGAGGGAGTCACATAACAATACCGCATTTCGATACAAACATTTTTACGCGCACTTTCAATACCTATTTGCAGTGCATTCTATTATCTTACATTTAATGATAGACAAATTTTTCAACATTGTCAAAAGCCTATTAAAACTGTTAACAAAAGTCTCTAGGCAATCTGATGGTGGCAACTTAGAAAATTTTTCTTTCTATCGATAATATTTAAGTTTCCAAATCATCAATTATCGTACAAATATCTTACAAGCTTTATTTTGTTTCATCATTTAGTTGATTTATCAATTCAACAGAAACTATGACACCTTAGTTCCTGGTTGGTTGGTGTATGTTTATTATAACTTGTAGACATGGGTAAGCAGGTTACAAAATTCACTTAGTTAGCTATTAAATAACTGATGCAGTGGTAGTCACCCGAGCCAGACATATGATATTAAAAAGTGATAGGTTACACATAGTAGCTTTAGAACGTGATACTGTAAGTAGGTATATATTCACGCGGGTTATCTGTCTGTAATTTGTTTGTATGTAGGCGCTACGTCTGTATACATTCGCGTTGTGGAATGCGCTCTATACATGTCATCTATAGTTATGTATAAAGCGGACTCGTAAATAGATTGAATGGGTAGGCATACCTACCTACTTTTTGCTTACATTGCCAGTTCGTTTCGCGTTAACTGAGTCAGCATCGTACAAAGCATCAGTGAGATTCGGTGTTGCTGGACTGTCGTGTGTGCCCTGTGTGTATGTAATGTAAACATTAACCTGAGGAATGCATTTAGACAGTAGGTGCTGGAACATTATCATGAGCGGTGATAACGTGGCGGCGAGTCGGCGCGGCTCAGTCAGCGACGAGGGGTCGCGTGGTGCGGTCGCACGTTGCTCAGTTATCCAACAAGTGACTTACGAAAGCACTCTCTGTTCGCGCTCGCGTACGCGCCGCATTCCATCGTGGGGGCCCTTCCCCGCCATTGGCCGATCCCGTGTGACGTCACTCCTCGTAATGAGGTATTCAACATGGCCGTGTAGCTAGTTCGCGAGTGTGCTTCGTTATTCGTTTGAATGGATTTAATCAGTGAAATATGCCAAGGAGACGAAACGGTGAGATACCCTTGCCCGACGGATGGGATTTTGCGAGGGACTTTGACGGAAAACTATATTTCATCGATCATAATAACAGAAAAACGACGTGGATCGACCCGCGAGACAGGTAAGTTTTCCAAAGAGAAGTGTTAACCCGTAAGAGCCCCATGTCAAAACTTGACATTCCAATGCGATTTTTGTCCTTTGCTGATTCAATTTTGTGTTAAATCTCCAGCGAAAGAAAGTTTTGATATTATGCTTCAATGTATTTAACTAGTATGTAAAAAATATGGATGTAACTTGTAATATATCATAAAAAACAAACTGTTCACTGAACGTGACGCTAGCGCGCTCTGGCGGAAAGTATGCACAATAGACTCGATTTCACACGACATTCCACAATTTAGTGACAACAAATGAACTAAACACAAATTATGGTCACAATTTGTTATTATTTGGAATGCCCTAGCATTGTGCCGTTGAATTGTAGTGAGCTATATATCGTGAGCGATGTCAGTACTATTTTAATGGGGACACGGAACTGGTTCATAGCAATATTGGTGGCTGAACTGGCGCAGATATAATTCGATGGTGCATTTATGATCGTGTTAAGCTTGAGTGTGGCATATCTAGATGGTGCGGTTGGTGGTTTCGTAAGGTACGCGTGTGTGTACGGAGCTATGGCTCGGTGGGAGATGGAATGCGATGCATAGGCAACTTGCGCGGTGTGAATGACAGGCCGTAGAATGCGGCCCGGGCCTGCGGCGATGGTCGCGCCTTTCTAAAGCGGCGCAACGCCCCCTCCCGTAACCCCGCAGCCTCCCCCTTCACCACTAGCTGCAGGTGCCGCAAGACATCCCTATTAAATACCGATCATGTCTCTAGCCGTATCTATTTACCATAGATTAAACGACACCTGCATCATTGTCTTCAAATTATGACCTTATAAACTTGCCAGCTGCTCTTAAAAATGCAAAGTTAATTTTATGATATTAAATTGCCTCATTAGAGAAGATAGTGTCCCTTCAACTAAGAATTTAGAATATGCTAAGAAACATAAACAACGACAATCAGTGCCTATAATTAGAAGCAAATTTTCAAGCTGACTCATCAAAATGTTATATTCATATACCTTCAATATATCCCACAACGTGCGGTTGTATTTGAAGCCTGTAAGGTATTTATTTATTCAAAGTAGGTACATTTCACATTCTTCTATGCTTGTGCTACTAAGTTAAAAGAGATTCGTATCCTTTAAAGGTATCGATCGTTGAATGATGAAAAAGGATTGTCTGTATAAGAATATCCTTATGAATTCCATTAGCGGAAAGCATAAAAGCGAAACAAAAAATTCCAAGCCGTAAGCCAAATACTAAGACCAAAGTGTAATTGTGTATGCACAAAATTTTAAAACGACATAAAAAAATCTGGTTTCGGACCATTGATACCACAATATTATTGGCTGCTGACACAGGAAACATAAAGTAGCATTTTTATTAAGCGTTTTGCCAATATGTATATCACAGTATCGTCTGCAGACCGGGATTGTTAAATGTTTATTTTTTATTAATGTCGTAATTAGTTTTAAAATTTATCTCATTTTAATCGTGCTTCAAATTAACAAATTTTTACAAATTAAGAAAAGATTTTGAAATGTAATCGTGATGAACTTTAAAAAGTTCAGGAGTTATTCTTAAAATTTTCTTTCCGATTTTTTTTCGAAACCTTACAAAAAATATTTACTATTTATTCAGGACTTATTCGCTGTTAACAAAGATAATCTGAATGTGTAGAGAAATGAAACGTCAGTTTAGAATTGACCTAGAAGTCGAGGCACCGCGGATGTCACAGCCGGAGCGTCTACTTGTGCAAAACGCGCACATAATAAACCGAGCAACTAAGCCAATTTATTAAAGTCTAAAAATAACCAGGCCACGTCTCCGCCGCTTACACCATTATAACCTTATATGAAGGATCTGAATGATCTATGAAAAATGTGCATTCACTCCGTACGTCTCCAAAGAATGCAATTATTTTCTGCATCTGATGTAAGAATGTGGTTAATTAAGTTGGTTTTTCCAATTGAAATAATTCCTACACTATTGAATTTGTTGGATCATAATTTTGGTGAGATATAAATCTTTACGGTGTTTCAACTTAGGCAGACTATTCCAAGCAATAAGTATATTCTTATACGTTTCTTTAACGAGATGTTGCGTGCGAATGAGCATTTTGCGGTTTTCGCAGATCTTGACACCAGAGTGATACGCATAAAAGTGGTTATAAAAAATTCTCGGTAAAAACTCGACGATACAGAAACGATCGACAGCTACGCATTGTAAATAGAAGAAAAACCTCTCATTGTTTCACTAAGCAAGGAACCGGGGAAGACAATGATAGCGGTGATTAACAAGCGAATGGGAACCTATACCCATGTACGTCGATGTTTATTACTTTAATTGTATCGGCTGAATGCAGTTTCACTGCGTTGGTAGGTACATTGTTTGGCTCGCATACCAGAGTGTTGCGTTCCGTTGCTTGTTAATACATAATTCTATGTTGCGAGTGAAATCTGCGATAAGTATGCGTGGTTGGGTGTGGGTAAAATGGATGTGGGAAACACCAGGACATTTTGAATTCGAAATGAAATTCATATTGGTTATTATTATACATTGAGATGCCTAATTCAGATGCTGAAATTTGTTTGAAACTAATAAATATGATTATACAGAGATTTATTTAAAAATGTGTCTTCAAAAATTTATATGTTTTTAACACAATTATTAGAGAACTTCTGAATTATAAATAAAAGTGCTTTTAAACGGATATGTGAATTTGTTTTAATTTTTAGACGTCTAAATCTTTATAGGTTCTATGTTCACTTAGACTAAGATATTGATTGTCTTTTTATATTTTAATAAAATCGTAGCTATCTTCAAACGATACTTATTAAACAATACAAAATTTATACGGTGATGGATATTTTTAAATTTATTTTCATCTGCTTTGATGTATGTAACGAAGCTGTCGAGATTGTGTAATCCAAGTATGTGTAAAGCATCTTACGGATACTTCCCACGCCCAACGCAAGCCCCTTCGAGCGTGAAGCTAAGGGGCTGGGTATTTTACTGCGTTTCTTGACTTTAAATTCTAGAGTAGGTGCTAAATAACTCAGTGATTTCGTTTACTAAATCAAACATTCTTAACGTGTTATTTACACGCTACACAACCAAGGTGACCGACATTGGTAAACGAAGTGTTGCTTGATTCTAAGTGAACCGGTCACCTTTCCGCTAAAACTATGGCATTGATGCCTAGTATAATACCTAGTAATTCTACAAAAACTGGAAATCTAAGTTACAATGAAAATAAACAGTGTACATTGTGGATTACTTCCACACAAAATATGAAAGAACTATAATTATAATTTAAAATAAAAAATATTTATAAACTGATACCTGTTTAAATTAAATATATTTTTAGCTAATGCAAATTGTGGGTGCGGTTTAGTCGGTTGAACGTTTTGCGTTAGATAACGTATTGTTTATCCAAGTCCAACGCATTCCACAAAGATAAATATGTCCTTGGCAATTTTATACGCAGACGTGCGACCTAAGTGGTCGCCTGTCGTTCACACATTTCTAATTTATTTTGATTCCCCCTATTGACATATTGTCTTTAGTCTACATGTTCTTTCATATATTCAAGTTTGGATTCAGTTCTGCTAATAATTTCAATATTTAAGTTGAATGCCATATTAAGATCAATTCAATGCGAATGTTATCGCTGTGCTACTAAAAATGTGTTTCAAATCACGCATGTTTAAAAGTTATCTATGTAAGTAGACGATAAACGCGCGTATAGCATTGCTCTCGTTTCTAATCAAAATTAGCATTCCTCTCTTATCTATACGACTATAGAGTTGTTTACCTACGTGTTTTTTTCAATTCTTAGTTTAAGTTTTAAATTTTTTAATATCATAGTTTAAATCTGCAGAATAGTAGTTTTCACAAATAAGTAATCCTATTAATATTATAAATGTGAAAGTTTCTTTGTTTGGATGTTTGTCCGTCAATCACGCCGAAACTACTGAACAGACTTTGATGAAATTTGATATACAGATAGGGTAGCCGACTTAGACAATAGGATAGTTTTTATCAGAAAAACATTTCCCTAGCGACGACCACGCGAGCGAAACCGCTGGCTAAAGCTAGTTTTCGTCAGCGGTTTCGCTAATATAGGATGCCTCGTGGGGGTTCAAATCATAGAATTACATGTTGATCTATTCCAAATAAATTTCGTTTCCCATTTTGATCATACTTCAGAACTATGAACATTTTTGATTTCAATATAACGAAAATGAGTTTGAGGATCTTAGGCATTAATCAGTGAAAATTGTCAATTTAAATATTCCAATTAACACCAAGTGGAAAAATTAAGAATTTGACCGTAGCCGTGAATGGAAAGCCTTTGGTTCGTCGTAATCGACGGGCCTCCCAAAGGTAAACATTGTGTATTTGTTTGTTCAAAAATGACTGCTCGTGGAGGATATTTGATAGAGTTATTTATCATCTGAATAATTATAAAAAAAATATTTACATTGGAACATTTCTATTAGTTCTAAATCATCATCAATGAAGCGATTCAATATATAACTTAGATATACAAATTGAGAGAGCCTTCTCAAAATTTGGGCAATAAATATACTCGTAAATTGTCTTAAAATATACTTAAAATTTTGTGGTCTTCAATTATGCGAAATTGATTTATATTGTCATCAGTTAGAATTTCAAATAATTTGTAATTAGATATGAGCTCTCATTATCGGCATTATTTACAGTGACGTCTCATAAAATGGGACTATTTGCACATTCTTGAAACAATAGTCGAGGAATGTTTCTCAAACGCTGACAGACGGCGCCAATAATTCTATCGCACACCTGTACCTTTGTTAGACTGTAGGTGATATATTATTGTTTTTATATATGTAACATACCACAACTTTATTGGCAAAGTATATATAGTTTTATTATATTCAATGTAATGGTTCCGATAAAAAGGCAGCATGAATTAAGTTGTTATAGTCCATTCCTTATGTTAGACTTTCTATCACTGGGAAAGTATCAT